CATTAAATGCTAAAGTCTTTTGTTATTGTTGTAGATATTCATGTAAGCAGAATGTTGTGTAATCCATGTATCATGTTTTCGTTCACCACTGTTTCTAATAAAACCAATCTGCTCTACCTTTACATGCAGTAGATTAATAAAGAATCGAAAGAGAAAAACTTCACATGTTTCAAATCTGTTTGTTGACTAGCATATACCTGTCGTAATAATCATATATTGACTTCTATAAACATAAATGAATATGAGTCTACATTACTTAGAATTGAAACAGAAAAATTTAGCTTGTAGTGTCATGTATATGGCATATCCTCATCTTCTAATGTGTTATGTCAACATAATCGTTAAATTGAGTAGATTAGTTGGAAGAACAATCAGCAGTTATGTACATTTAGTTTTGTATTTTTTTTTTGCACTAGCATGGCCACTATTAGATAATAATAATAACGTACAACAATTAAATCATCTTGAATTAAATTTAAGAAGCAAAGGAAAACATTCTTTTATATATATTTTTTTTTTGATTGTTCTGTGTAATTATAAATATTTGTTAATCTTTCTCCTACATGTTGATGGAGTTTGATCTAAGAATTTCGATATTTTAATAAAGAAAAAGTTAGAGTTTACAGGTCCCACTGATTTGTATTTTTTCTTGACGTTTTGGAAATCTGACTCTCGATGCACTATGATCAATAACCAGATAGATTAATCTAAGTTGATTCTTGAAATTTGATGCACTGGATGTTCTATACATCTACATCACTGGCTCAGAAAAGTATTAGTGTGACCACATGTATAAATGTTTAAAATAAATATATAGGTCTTTATACGAAAAAGATTGAAAGTCATTACATCTCACTGTTGACTTCATCGTTTTTTCTTTGATTTATATTTGGAATAACTTTTTAAGCTATAGTTTAAGTACAATAAGACATTTAGACAAATAAATGATGTTTTTTAGTTTTGAAAAAATGAATTTCTTTCTGTAAGATAGAAATGTAGATAAAATGGTTCTCGACAATGAATAAAGAGAGACGAAAAGTTTCAGTCTAAAAATATAAAAATAAACAAACAAGATGATAATGTTTTCGTGCAAGATTGAAGAATCAAATTTTAAGATTTTTTCCGAAAAAATAAGAATAATCTTAGTGTAAATTTTTCAGATTAAATCAGACCCAAATATCATACAGATGCTAAAACACAATTATTTTTTCGTTGCATTGTCTTGTAAAAAGCAGATTTTAGTTTTATCAACAAAATTTAATTGGGTCTTTCTAAAGAAGTTGATTTTGTTTATTAATATGTTCTATATTGTAGATAATAATTCAAAAAATTTTCATTAAACTAAAGATGAGCACACGGTGTATATTCTGTTCGGTATTATGTTCGGGTAACTCTTGCTTACAATGCAATCAAATGAATCGTAGTCAAAAATTTGCAAGGTTGCTTCAGCTTTTGGGACAATGTTCTGAAAGTATTGTTTATTATGATGAAATTGCTTCTGTCGTGCAACGAATTCGACAAGTAAGTCTACTACGGTTCTAATTAAATTATAAAGAAAATGTTATAGATTGAATCAATTATGGCACCAATTCAGTTTCATCCGAATCAAGTTTTCGATGAAACCAAACACATTGTAGATCCAATTGCTAAAAAATATCTTGAGAAAGCGACTAATGATGTACTTCATCTTATTCCGGTCAAAGTTGCTGATGACGGAAACTGTTTATACCATTCAATTCTTCTATTAATGAATAATCCAACGGTGACGACGGATGAATTGCGCGGTACATAGATTTATTTTTCGTTTATATCATTGTAAAATCTATTTCAATATGATTTTTAGTTCGAGCAATTATCGAACTTATGACAAATGAAGCTTATTATGATAGCATGTATTCACAATTCATCGGATCTGTTGCATTTATTATCAAGGCTATGTGCAAAAATAATACATTTTCAGAATTGTATGAAATTAGTGCATTATGCAATGTACTTAAATGTAATATACGAAGTATCTATCCAAAAATTGATTTTCGAGAAGATCTGGCAATTATGAATAACGTCTTTACGCCTGCTCCATCTGTCATTGCCAACTGTAACATCGCAATTTTGTGGTCTCATGTCCGGAATGAAACAGATGCACGAGCTGCAAATAATGGCGCATGGAGTCCCAATCATTTTGTTCCACTTCTATCATCAGCAGTGCATTACACATCTGAACATGGAAATAAATCACCAACGTTTGCCGTAAGTTGTTTATCTGTAACTGCTTCTCTGGAAATTTTTGAAATTTATTTAGACTCCTGAAAAGAAAACGTTTAAGAATAATACTCCTACTCGAGTACGAAATCCTGAATTTGAATGTTCTCCTAGCAGCCGTCGACGTATCGATAATATCGGAGTATACTCCACTCATTTAATCAGTTCAAGTGTACTACAACAAAGTCAAAGTGGCATAGAAGAACAACGTCAAGTGCGGCTTGATGTACTAAAAGAACGAGCTCAGTCTAGACGAATGAACGAAACAGCTGAACATCGTCAAATTCGGCTTGAAAAGCAACAACGTCGAGATCAATCTCATCGATCAAATGAAACAGAAGAACACCGTCAACTTCGCCTTGAAAAGCAAAAACGTCGAGACCAATCGAATCGATCAAATGAAACAGAACAACAACGTCAAATTCGACTTGAGAAGCAAAGGAAACGAAGCGAAGCAAACAGAGCGAAGAAGAAACTTGAAAAACACACATTTGACAACATTGACATTCATCGACAAAATACCGAAATGCAATTTAGTGGAACGGAAGAAGAAGCATCTTGCGACAATAGTAGCACAAATGAAAACGTCATACAGAAAAAGAACGACTCAAATTATTCCTGTTGGCCTGAACCGATTCCTCGTGAATTAAAAGAGGCCCGATTGCAAAAGTTTCTTCAACAGATGTCCATGCCAGTACTGGCTGAAGCTACTTGTGCAATTTGCAATGTTCGTACTCCAATACAACAGTCAAAAAAAGTGCCACTCTCGAAAATTCCTAATATTCAATTCCTTAAAGTTTCTGACGAGCTCAAAAATTTAATTACTAATGGTTCATCATCGTTATCACAACATTTAGACGGTAATAGCACAGCGATTCTTCAAAATATTCAAAGTAACATATGATTACTGTGATTTGAGACATTATATAGAATATTTGACTATTCTAGTTCCTTCAACTTTCGATTCTTCATCATTTCATTATGATAATGATGTTATCTTATATACCAAAGGATTATTTCAACAAAACAAGGTGAACATGTGCACACTTTGCCAAAAATGT